GTTTCGGGGTTTAGGGTTTATGGGTTCAGGGTTCAAGGACCACAAAACCCTAAACCCTGAAGCCTAACCGCATGTTATGCCACAACCATCTTCTGTACAATGCCGAAACAAGGGCCTCGACTTCGACAAATACTTCCGAACCAGTATCGGTCGCAAGTTGATTTCAACACTCACGTAGCAGCAAGATGCGGTGTTGGGTTTGGGGGATTTTGGGGGGCAAGATCTGGCAAGTCACAAAGCTTAAACTACAAGTCTGGCCCATCAGCTTTCAGGCATACACCCACCCTCGATATCACCAGTCTGAGTTGCACCCTCTGTCCTGTAGCAACAAACCCCAGACAGACTTGTCATGCCTCCCACAATGGCTGCTTTGTTGCACAATTAAAGTGTCACTCACTTGCCAACGTGCGAAGAGCCCATTGTTGCAACGCTTCTCGCCTCGCCCATGATCATGGGTCCTAAGCAGGCTATTTTGCTACATCGCCGCATCAAGCGGTTCTGAGCGAATTCCGAATGGTGAGTGTTTATAGGGTCTAGGAATTAGGTTTGTTTTCATCGTTTGCTGATGTCGGATCACACTCCTCGACCCCATTGATCCCGCAGAAGAAGCCACTGAACCAACTGACACGTCAGCAGGAGCACTGAGACATCATTGCTCAAGCCGGCATGGCTCACGCCAGCAGATGCTGCACCAGGGCAGTACTCAGTCTCATTGACCGGAGTCTCATGGGATAGCAGGCAGCCGCTCGCATTGCATGTAATTGTCGTCGATGTGCTCGAGGTGTCTACGAACATCGGGCTATAATCATACACATGCTCGAAATATGACGGGTGCGCATATCTGTTCCCACACTGGATTTTCATCCGCGACACGGAGTAGATGCTATCACCACCTTGGGTCAGCTTTATGCGGGCGACCGGTTCCCTCTGTTTGATGACCATGAGGCCTGTGGAACCGATCTTGTCGCTGTTCCAGCAAGTGCAGCCAACGCCCACATCAGAGCCCAAGTTCGCAGAGGTGTTCAAGTCCCCATCACGCACCGCCGAAATTGCGCCCACAAAGGGTTTGGACGGGATATGATAATAAACAGGATACAACGCGAAGTCGGTTGGGGAAAACAGCTCCACTTCGTGCAGTCTCCAGGCCGAGAAGCAGCTTGCTTGGATGGGTCGTGCAGCCGTGATTGCGAAGAGATTGTAAGAGGCATTGAACGGGTTGCAGCCGCCAATGTAGGGATCTTTCGTGGTGGTCGTGGTCGTAGTCACAGGTGGGCCATCGCCGTTGGCGAGAGCAAGAGCCAACAGCAATAATCCCACATGACGCTGCTGCGGGAGTTGTGCCGAGGCCATGCAGTCACAAGCAGCGGGCTGAGGAGGAACCCTGTCGTTCTTTAACCCTAAACCCTAAACCCTACCTATAGGCCCCCAAGTAGTTCCCTTTTCGGGATTACCTTTTTGGGATTCTAAATATGAACCATAAAAAGGAACTACTTAGGGGCCTATGGCTTATGGGTCAACCCTAAGCCCTAAATGTTCAAGATATGAGAGTTCCTGGGTTGTGCAGGCTCCTAGGTTTGAGGCCAGAAGTTTGAGGTCATGCCTGATTTGGGATTGTTTGCGACTTGAACCCTTGGCACATAGCATACCATAAACGAACTCAAAAAGTGCTGAAAGAGAGAGGGAGGGCGGGAGGCAGGGAGAAAAACAAAATAGAAAGCTCTGAGGGTTTCGGGGTGCATGGCGTCAGGTTTTTGCTAGTTGTCTTGCTCAGCTTCATGCTATGCATTGGCTGAACAGAATGGCTATCCGGTTTAAGGCTGAGGGGGTGGCTTTCCCGGATACCTTCACGCGCAGCAGATGCCGGAGCCGGTTCGCTTCAGGTCTCGTAGAATTCACGCAGAAGCGAAGCTTCACGTCTACTGCTGCAAAATCTCAGTACTACTTCCATTAAGTCTGCTTGCTTGGCAAGACTTCTGTTGCTTCTAATTCTACTCTTCAGCCCATACATATATCCATAAAGACCATACGCCAAACTCTCTTCATCGATGCAGGGGCCGTCCTCAAATGTCAAACTTGGTCTCGCCAGACCCCAAATGTCCACAATGGTTTAAAGGCTGCCAGGACCCCCCAAGTGCCCTTTAATCCAGCCTCTATGTCCCTACACACCCTAAATCTTATGCTCCTGAAAAGTGGTTGTTTGGGGAGTATATCAGAAGGTAGTTTGGGAGTTCAACTCTAAACCCTACCTATAGTCTCCATTGTAGTTCCTTTTTGGGGTTACTGTTTAGGATCCTTAATAGTCCCTTCCCGCGTTTACTAAACACCCCCCTAATATTAAAACTGCTGCCCCCCGGAATTCTGCGGTTTCGGGCCCACAATTGAAAGTTAATTAAACATTAGGGGGTGCCTAGGATTGTATGATTTTTAATACAGCCAAGACTACAGTAGTACTAAACCGAAAGGACCAGGGCTGTAGGGTTTAGGGGCTTAGAGCTCAGGGCTTAGGGTTTAAGGCTCTAGAGCTTAGGGGTTAAGGGCTTGAGGTTTAGGGTTGAAGGCTTTACAGCTTAGGGGTTAAGGGCTTAAGGTTTAAGGCTTCAGGGTTAATGAAGAGGTTTGGCTAAAGTAATTAGGAAGTCAAGGCTTAGAGTTTTAATATTAGGGGGGGTTGTTATATTCGGGGCTGGCTGTCTAATTACCCTCCCTCCCTCCCTCCCTC